TTTCAACCTTCTGCATGTTGCTGTCCAGTTCTCCCAGCACCATTTGTTAAAGAGACTGTCTTTTTTCCATTGGATGTTCTTTCCTGCTTTGTCAAAGATGAGTTGGCCATACGTTTGTGGGTCTAGTTCTGGGGTTTCTATTCTATTCCATTGGTCTATGTGTCTGTTTTTGTGCCACAGATTTAATTCTTTTTGATTGCTGAGTAATTGTGTGTGCGCATGTGTGTACACACACACATGCGTGCACACACACACACATACACACACACATCTTCTGTATCCATTCATCAGTCAATGGACATTTGGATTCTTTCCCTAATTTGGCTGTTGTCAGTAGTGCAGCTATAAACATTGGGGTACATGTGCCCCTTCAGATCAGCATTTTTGTATCCTTTGGATAAATTCCTTGTAGTGCAAATTACTGCGTAGGTCTATTTTTAATTTTTTGAGAAAACTCCATACTGTTTTCCAGAGTGACTGCACCAGTTTACATTCCCAACAGCAATGCAAAAAAAAAAAAAAAAAAAAAAAATCCCCTTTCTGTGCATCCTTGCCAACATCTGTTGTTTCCTGAGTTGTTAATTTTAGCCATTCTGACAGGTGTGAGGTGATATGTCATTGTGGTTTTGGTTTGTATTTCCCTGATGATGAGTGACGTAGAGCATCTTTTCATGTGTCTGTTAGCTTTGTGGATGACTTTTTTAGAAAAGTGTCTATTCATGTTTTGCCCATTTCTTAAATGGATTATTTGTTTTTTTGGGTGTTGAGTTTGATAAAAGCTAGAACAATTCTAAAATTTGTATGGAACCAGAAAAGACCTTGAATAGCCAAAGTAATGTTGAAATAGAAAAACAAAACTGGAGGCATCACAATTCTGGACTACAAGCTGTATTACAAAGCTGTAATCATCAAGACGGTATGCTACTGGCACAAAAACAGGCACACTGACCAGTGGAACAGAATATAGAACCCAGAAATGGACTCACAAAGGTATGGCCAACTAATGTTTGACAAAGCAGGAAAGAATATCCAGTAGCAAAAAAAAAGACAGTCTCTTCAGCAAATGGGGTTGGAAAGCCTGGACAGTGACATGCAGAAGAATGAACCTGGACCACTTTCTTGCACCATACACAAAAATGAACTCGAAATGTAAGGCAGGAAGCCATCAAATTCTGCTAGAGAAAACAGGCAACAATCTCTTTGACTTCAGCCGCAGCAACTTCTTACTTGACATGTCTCTGGAGGCAAGGGAAACAAAAGCAAAAATGAACTATTGGGACCTCATCAAGATAAAAACATCCTTGGGTCGCCTGGGTGACTCAGTTAAGAATCCGACTTCAGCTCAGATCATGATCTCACAGTTCATGGATGTGAGCCCCACGTCGGGCCCAGTGCTAACCACATTATGAACAATTTACAGGTCTGAGTACAACAAAATAGAAAAAAAGAATCAGATTCTGTTTGAAGTATCCCATGAAAAACATTAACTAGACAACAACTGCAATGTTAAATCTAGGAATTAGTATCTAGACATACAAAGGACTCTGAAGGGTGCGGTTGGGAAGGAAAGACATGAAACCCAAAAGAAAACAAGAGGGATATCAGTGGCCACTTCACAGAGGGGGCAAGACTGAAGGAGCTTTTTATCTTTTTTTTTTTATGTTTATTTATTTTTGAGAGAGAGAAAGAGAGGTGCAGTGTGTGATCGGAGGAAGAGCAGAGAGAGAGGGAGACACAGAATCCAAAACAGGCTCTAGGCTCTGAACTATCAGCACACAACCTGATGTGGGGCTCAAACCCACAAGCCATGAGGTCATACCCTGAGCTGAAGTCGGATGCTTATCAGACTATAAGCCACCCAGCCACCCCTTCCATAAGCATTTTAGAAGCAGTAGCAGTTCTTTTTAAAAATCCAGCTGGAGGGGCGCCTGGGTGGCGCAGTCGGTTAAGCGTCCGACTTCAGCCAGGTCACGATCTCGCGGTCCGCGAGTTCGAGCCCCGCGTCAGGCTCTGGGCGGATGGCTCAGAGCCTGGAGCCTGTTTCCGATTCTGTGTCTCCCTCTCTCCTCTCTCTCTCTGCCCCTCCCCCGTTCATGCTCTGTCTCTCTCTGTCCCAAAAATAAATAAAAACGTTGAAAAAAAAAATTTTAAATAAATAAATAAATAAATAAAAATCCAGCTGGAGGGGCACCTGGGTAGCTCAGTCGGTTAAGCGTCCGACTTTGGCTCAGGTCATGATCTCACAGTTCATGAGTTCAAGCCCTGTGTTGGGCTCTGTGCTGACAGCTCAGAGCTGGAGCCTACTTTGAATTCTGTGTCTCCCTCTCTCTCTGCTCCCCTGCACATTCTCTCTCTCTCTCTCTCTCTCTCTCCCCTTCAAAAATAAATAAAAACCATTTTAAAAAATTACAAAAAAAAATCCAGCTGGAATTTTTATTGGGATTGCATTGAATTTATATTTTTAGCTTGGAGAGATTTAATATCTTTACTTTGAAAATACCTACATTCTAATTTTTTGTCCGACGATTTGGAAATTCTCTTTATAAAGATTATCAGTATTAATTTTTACATGTGTTAATCATTTTTGCTGTGAATGATGTCTTTTTTGTTTTATCACTGGTGTATGGGAACA